GTAGAAAAGGAAGAAGGTAGAACTTCTATTGGCAAAGTACTTCTGAATATTATACAGGCATATTATTTTTAAATACATACTTTTAGGGTAGGCTCAGGGAAGAGCCATTTAAAAAAAAAAATCTAAAGTATCAGGAGAATCCAAAGCCTGAACCAGTATCTGCATACAGCTTATTGAAATTTGCTCTCAAAGCAAATTTTAATAAGACAGACTAAAGGCCGTTCCATGTTCAAAGTTGTTCGTTTGTTTATATTTCGTATTTCTTAACCACCCATCCCCCTCAGAAAGGGTCTCAATGATGCCAAGTGATAACCCCTGTATGATATCACAACAAAGTTGGACTTCAAACATTCATTGAAAATTAGAATGATTCATTCTGGCTATGTTTTCAGTCCAGAAGCAATGATAATTCTCCAACATCTGCAGATTGGGAGCTACAATTGTTCCATCTCACCCTTCTTCCTGCTTTTCTTGTTTTCTTCCTGAGCCAAAGCTTCCCAGTTTGTCAAATTCTGACACTTTGTTTTGATGAAGGCATGGGCTACCAACTGTGTCGTGGATTTGGCTGAAAATTGGCTGAACAGAGCACTGACTGGTTCAAACAAGCAAATAACACTTGGGCAGAGGCCCAGTGTTGTTGAAGCCAGTGCTGTTTGAGTCCAGGGGAGCCTAGGATCTCCTAGTTACCTTCTTCAGAAAAAAACAGTTGTTCAGATTATGTTAAGAGAAAGGTCCAAGTCACCTAAAGTAATCTATAGTACCATGGAGGTAAAGCAGGTTTAAAGAATTTTAATGAAATAAATTAAACTTGAAAAGAACTAGATAGCATTTCTTCCCTGCCCCGATTTATGCTTATTCTCCCTCAACACCACCACTACTTTCATTTCAAACCTTTTCATTTCAAATCTTTAAATTAAACACTCATTTACACACAAGTTATTGTTTCTCAAAGCTTAAAATTTAAACCATAGCTTGCATTCATCTAACCGAGAAAATATATTATCTGAACTTGCACTCAAACCAAAATGACAAAGTTAGAATTGCCAACTTGATTGTTTTTAATTCTGGGTTGTTGTGAAAGGAAACACAAAATGATATTTTGTTAGTTCATGTGTACAGTAATGGCACAATCTGTGTTATAGGTAGTTGTAATTCCATCAGCTATGTATATGCTGCATAAGTATACATGTATGGGTATGAAGCAAACACATATCAACTTATTTTCATGTGCCATATCTGGTGCAACATCATATTGAACTGTTAGGATATTTTGAGGCACTTTTACTAAACTAGCTTTAGAGAAAAATCTCTCTTCCTAGATGCTGTTAAGCTACAACTCCCAGCATTCTCTTTACAGGTATTGACCATATAGAATACAGATCATGGGAGCTAAAGCCAACTTAAGCAAAACAATATAATGCCTTTGCTTTTAATTTACTTGTGGCTAATTTGTTGAATGCATGTCCAGGATCCCCAAAACATTTCTAACTAATAATAAACCTAGAAATGTTTTAAGAGCTCAACTTTATTATGAGAATTAGTGATGAAAGAATTCCTGTCTCCGTATGTTAGAAGCTGAAGCTGATAGCTTAGAAATCTCCTTGTTTCTGTGTTGGCAAATTTTCTCCGGGTTGAGCACTCCCAGTTACTTTGGATTACTCTACACATCACAGATAGCATAGCTAAAACTAAGCTTCATAGGAATTGTAGTGCAGAACACTTAGGGAATACTAGTTTGGTGAGGATCGATCTAGGTATTACTGTGAAAAAAAATAACAACGTTGAATAATTTGCTTTATATTTTTCCTTCTTCCTAGAAAGAATTCTGGGCAATCTATATAGGTAAGGATTATTCATTTGAACACGAATTAGCCAATTCTGCCATGAATGCCTTCCTGAAATGTGTGCTAATGTGGAACCTGCATTATGATATTAATACAGTTGAGAAAGTCCAGAAATATTTCACAAGAAGAGTTCTCTACTCATTGTAGAATATCTTATGCCACCAGAATTGAAATTCTAGACCTAGAAATCTAGAACTACGCTGCCTTTGGTCCAATCTAAGTATAGTATATAAAATCATACATTGCAATGTCCTACCTGTCAATGAATACTTCAGCTTCAACCCTAACAACACAAGAGCACACAATAGATACAAACTCAAGGTAAACCGCACCAAATTTGATTGCAGGAAATACGACTTCAGCAACAGAGTGGTCAATGCCTGGAATACTCTATCTGACTCTGTGGCTTCTTCCCCAAACCCTAAAAACTTTAATCTTAGACTTTCTACTATTGACCTCACCCCTTTCCTAAGAGGTCTGTAGGGGGCATGCATAAACGCACCAACATGCCTACCGTCCCTGTCCTATTGTTTCTTTTTGTTTTTCTTATATGTATCCATTTCATGTATTCATAACTATGTTTATACTTATACCTGTTATCTTATAATCACTTGACAAAATAAAATAAATAAATAAATAAAAATTTTCACAGATCCTGATCAGTGTGACTCCAACCCTTGCCAGAATGGTGGGACCTGTATTGATAGGCCTCAGGACTACTTTTGCATTTGTCCTCCAGAACACGAAGGCAGAAATTGTGAAATAGGTAAATCTTTATTAACTAGATAAAAAATAACATCAGTGTTCTGCCCCTAAAAATTGGCCATCATTCCATATTCTCTCAGCCATTCATTAAAAAATCCAGATAGCAGACTATTTTAAAACTGCAGTGGGTGATATCCAGGTTTTGAGACTTGAAGTGTCTTTTTTCATATCACCACGATCTTCACGATCTTCTGTCTTTTTTCATATCACCACGATCTTCAGATCAATATACTTTTGAGTCCTGTTGGAGACCTGTGCTTATGCAGTTTTGGACCTGTGCACCCCAAAGCAAAGGTGATGCAAGCTTATTAGCAAGCAGTATCCTTCCTTCTAAGGGAGCTATATGAATACCAATCCCAATTAACTCTGTCCTCCATTCTTCCTGAGAATCTAGAACATGGAAGCTCCTGTTCCAGAATCTGAAGCCTTCTTTGCCAGTGGCAATGCCACCGCACAACACTTTCCTATCCAAACTGGGAAAATGTTAATTCATGTCTTCTTCTCTATATTTAGGACCAGAAACCAAGCTGAAATGCTTTTTTAAAAATGGCAATTGTGAGCAGTTTTGTGTAGATTCCCCAACCACATTAAGACAGTGCTCTTGTGCAGAGGGATACAGGCTAGCAAGTGACCAAGTATCCTGCATCGCAGAAGGTAAGAATGAGCCATCACACCAATGTGTGGTCATGATATTCCTTTCCAGATAGATGCCAGAGTATAGACCAGTGTTTCTGAACCTTGGCAACATTGGGAGTTGAACTCCATACACCTTAAATTTACTAAGGTGGAGAAACACTGGCATAGCTGGATGCCTTTTTACTATTAATTGACATTACAATGAACCGGTCCCAAGGCTAGAAAGAATTATAAAAGTAGTCGGCCTTCCAGCCTGTTCTAATTTTATCAGTCTCTGTATTGAAATACTGATCTCAAGGTGGAAAGCAGGGACAGCCTGTTGAACTGACATTCAAACCCTTGGCCAGTGCTCACTGTTAGGACATCTACTTGCACTGGGAGGGAAATGCCTCATGCCATGTCATGCTGGCATTCTTCATGGCTTCAGGTGGGCACCTTTCACCAACCAGGAGATGCCAGGGATTAAGTTGTGCTTCTGCGTGCATGAGGCAAAATCGGGTGGAAAGGGTGGTGGTGGATAAGAATAAGCTCTTTCTACAATGAAGACAGCTGTCTTTTAAACAAAAGCATGATGCCTTCTTGGTGTCCAATCCTAAAGGACCACACATAGTTGAATCCCTATGAGACAGGCCTTGCTTTATTGGAAACAATTTTTTTTAAGAACAAGTTTTATTGATTTTTGCAGACAAACAAAACATAACACATAGAAGTATAAAACCTCCTTTCTAAGAATTACTTATAAATTTCAACAAGGCAAATAAAGCATTATTTTTTAAAAACATAGTTCCACATTATCACACTTCCACTTTACACATATATATCTTTTCCAAATTTCTCATTATTTCTCCCTTCACTTTCATTCAATCATATTTCCTTCTATCAAAGTTTCAGTAATTCTCAATCAGTCATAAAGACACAAAATACATAACCTAAAGCAAAACATTGGAGGAAAAAAAAAACCTCCTTACTTATCATTTGTACATATCTTTTCCCAATTTCTCTCCCTTTAATTTCATTTCTCCAAGATTTTATTAATTTAGAATCAAACGTAAATAATCCACACACTAAACATAAAACTTCTTTTGAAAAGTGACTTGGCCCCAGGTTACATCTTTTTTGACAGACCTAAATCAAATTCATGCCCACCTTATATACCCTTCATATCTTATTAACCATTTTGTATTTTCTATATAACTTCTCCCATCTTTTCACTCTCTTAATTATATTTTATTTATTTCATCTTATTTCAAAGTCATTATACTTGTGTCTTTTGTCCGTTCTTTACCAAACATTTATGTATCTCTTCCCTTTAACAAAAAATTTCCCCTGTAATCGCTTTTGAAGTATGACGCCTTCTCCTAAAATAAAGCTTAAAATAATACATAATTTCCATCCTGATTCTGCTTAGTACATTCTACATATTAAATCTTAAAATAAAAGAATAGTAAACTTATAGTATAATTAAATGTATAAATTCTATTCTAATTCTAATTCTGATAAGTACATTGTTTTAGGATAGAAAAAATAAAATACTAAAGTTATAATAACATTAAAACACTAACAAATTAAACTTTAACTAAGCATTAATCATTTAACACAGTCTCCTAATATTTAATTAAATATCAACATCTATCATTATTAAACATTAATATTTTATTAAATATTCCAATAAACTGTTTCAAATGCAAATACTACAATACTATCTTATGCACTCTTGCAGAATCTTCTTTAATTATAAACTATCTATCATCCTTCATCTCTTAAAAAAAAAACTTTTTTAAAAAAATCTTGTTCTAACCCGTGGCTTTTTTTTTCTTTTTCCCTCCCTTTCTTCTCCAATCTGGTCTTTTTGCCCCCCCCCTCTCC